TGGGGGCGGTGGGGGGGGGGGGGGGGGCATAATTGAAACACTTGTGGCATATGCAATTACTTTCACATCGTTGTTCATCTTTTTTACTGATAGCGCCCTCCATTATTATTGGCACCCATGGTTAAAGCCTTAAAATACATGTCATTTTGATTGCATACTCTCATACTGAAAAATGTATACATGCAGAATCAAACTCCTACATATTTATACACATACACACACACACACACACACACACACACACACACACACACACACAGCATAAATACATACTAGTGAAGGTGCCCGGAACACATTGTCAAGAAAATCTTTGGGTTGGCTACCACTTTAAAGTTCTGAAGAATGGGGCCCCATGGTCGCATATTTGGACAGCACATTAGCATTAGCAGATAGCTAGGTTGCACCACCGATCACCGCACAGGGATTCACAATGGGCCACGGTCACTCTATGGGCTTCCGAGACTTGAGAACCGTGTTTGAACTGTGTCGTTTTCTCACGAATCAGTCTTGGGCATCTTTTTTCCCCATCCACTTGATTTGCAGCTCAGCACACAATGTCGCAGTATCAACTCAACACGATGCCGCATTTCTTCTTGGTGACTCTTTGATTATTCATGCTCCAAGAAAGTCACAAAGGGCTTCAAGTGATTCTTTAAGCCCAGAGAGGCTGAGATTCCACCATCTGGAATATCGTTGAAGGTCAGCGATGCTTTGCCGATTTGTATCGATTTGTATCGATGCGTTCCTCCTCTTTGGAGATTTTCTGCACCAAAGTGCCTTTCGTCACGAATAAAGTCCACAGCTTGTTTTTTTGGGATACCTCGAATTTGCAGCACAAGACCCGCCCATGAATATATTCACTTTGATGGAGCTTCAATAACATCCGTGTCTTCTGCTTTTGGAACGCATGATTTTGGGGGTGGGGCGGGGGCTGGAGACTGCCTGAGTGACACGGGCGGCGATGGGAGACCCCTGCTCAAAAGGTGAGAAGGGAAGCAGTCAGTGATTCTCAACGCAGCTGCAGTTGCTTCCATTTATTTTGCGGCTTCATTGACCACTGCTCCTCTCCCGAGCGCACTTGTGCATCTTCACCTGGTCCTTACGAGAGAATCTTTTCTCGCACCTTATGCAACTGAAGGGTTTCTCACCAGTGTGTCTTTTTGCGTGCCTCGTTAATTTGGAGTTCTGAGTGAATCTCATACCGCAAACTGAGCAGCCAAAAGGTTTTTCTCCAGTGTGTGTTCTCGTGTGTTCTTCTAACTGTGCCTTCTGTCTGAATCTCATCCCGCATACAGAGCAGGCAAAGGGTTTCTCCCCAGTGTGTGTTCTTGCGTGTAGTCTTAAATTTCCCTTTGTGGGAAACTTTTTGTCACAAACTGTGCAGGCAAAAGGTCTGTCCCCGGGGTGTCTTCCCACGTGGGTGGTTAAAGTCCATCTTTGAGCAAATCTTTTCCCGCAAACTGAGCAGGCAAAAGGTTTTTCTCCAGTGTGTGTTCTTGTGTGAGCGGTTAAAGTCCATCTCTGGGAATAACCTTTCCCACAAACTGAGCAGGCAAAAGGTCTCTCCCCAGTGTGTGTCCTTGTGTGCCTTGTTAAATCTACCTTCTGAATGAATCTTTTCCCACAAACTGAGCAGGCAAAAAGTTTTTCTCCATTGTGTGTTCTTGTGTGTCTTTTTAAGGATAACTTGCTGACATCATCATCGTCGTCGTCACCGCCAGTGTCAGAAGAGCGTGACGTCACGTCATCACCATCTGAAAGTGGAGCTAAGAGGCTGTCCGATTGGGATCGCCCATCCTGGTCCCCATCATCTTCGTCACTCTTCACAATGACTCCAGTCAATGGAATCTTGCTGATTTCATCTTCCTGCTCTTCTTCTTTAACGTAAGGGCACTCACGCTCCTCCTCCTGCTCCTCCTCTTTAATTTGGCCATACGCTGGCTCCTGCTGCTTGCGTGTGCATTTAAATGTTCCCCTTGAGTGCTCTTCTTCATTGAGGTCTGCAGAAGACAGAGATTGCTTGAGTCAACCTTTGTTCAGTCAAGTCTCACGTTGTGGCTTTGACATTGTCTATTATTGTTTCTGAATATTTTGGCAACGTTGAAGATAACAGAAGAATGACAAGCTGTTGGATCCTCAAAAGAAGAAAAAAGTCAAACAGTGTAGAGGGGGGAAACATCAGAGTCCGAGGTCTCAAACATAATCATGAGGGGAAACCAAGAAGATCCGCCTCTTACCCGACATTGGATGTTAATAATGTTTGTGTACATGTGACGTAAAACGGTAAGAAGGCCGGAAGGTAGTCATGAAACAAGTGAGAACGAGAAGTAAACAAACCTGCTCCGTTTAAGGCAACTCGAGGTTCCAACTGACAAAGTTCCTCCTTGTACTCTGTCGTCTTTCTTGCACACATTTCCCGCGACAATCACAAGACTTGACATTCACTTGATCTCTTCTGAGCGACGTGTTGCTAACAGACGCTTCTGCCTGTTAGCGAAGCAAAGCTAAGTTTGCCAGTGTAGCTTCAACGTGCAGCCAGGCGACTTTATAGGGACACGAAGGTCGCATTCGGTCGTTTTAGGCGTACTTTGTCAAAGATTTAGCCCGGTCAGGAGTCATTCCAGAATAAGGATTTCGTGAAACGCGAGTCCGAGGCACGATCTGCGTTACTCGCGCACAATCAGCAAAGCGCATGCGCAGCAGGT